ATCCTTTATTTTCAATTGAAAAATATTAACAAGAAACGAATAAGGAATTGCAATTTTTTATGTATTGTAACTCAACAGTAAAAAAAAAACATAATCCAGAAGTAAAAACAAGAATTCATTTAAGTATGTATAAGTTATCTGCCCTTGAAATGACCTCAAATAAGTAGAAAAGTGTGATTTAGGGGCAGATAACTCAAAAACGAGAATGGTGACCCCAATTTTTTTGGGCTTAAAATGTTTCTGTTATCATTTTCTAACAACATGCCAAGTTTAAAGAAATTCTATTGAACAATTTTAGTTTTGCCTATATGTCTATATGAAAACTCCCGAAAACGTCCTTTAGTTAAAACAGCTGCTTATAAAGGGCCATATAAACTGTCAAAAATCTTTATAACTAATAAAATAAAGTTTCTGCTGCCAAACCCATGCATCTTTTGGTTGAATCTGTGACATTGCTTTTCAAAAATTTCTAGTGAAAAAATTTCTTATGCTAACCAAAAACTTTACTGCTCCTTGTTAAAAAAATATTTTTTCAATCAGGACCAGATTAACATTGGAGATATGTTTTGTTTATATTTATAGTTGTGCTAAGGTGAATGTGAAGAAAGTAGGACTAGAGTTAGGCGGGAAATCTCCTCTAATAATCTTCCACGATTGTGATCTCGATAAGGCAGTGAGAATGGTACGTACTGTTTAATTCTAGTTTCACCGATTGTCCTGTTACTTTTGTTGTTGTTTTTCGTTTATACTAATTTATTTTAGTTTGATCGTGTTGGCAGCTACAAGCTTATTGAAAGACTCCCGAATTTGTTCCTGGAACTAACCAGTAATAAGCAATAAGTGTGAAGTTTCTTGCTCACAGAATCAACGGCTTGCCCCTGACCGAGTTTGAACCCATGTGGCCAGCAATTCTTTGATTACTAGATTGACATGTTAACCTCTCATGATTAAAAACTTCCTCTCCTGATTGTTATTTTGTTGTATAATTGGTCGTCTATGGTTTTGGATTGAATCACTTGCTTTAAGCTCCAGTGATGCGGAATTTCTGGGAGAAAAATATCCACCTTGTAAAGGAGAGGGCCCTGATGTCTTCTTTTGAGAGTTATACTGTAGTATAGAAAGTAGCTGTATGATTTAAACAGTGTTGCTTCCCCAGACCAAGAAAAAGTACTGTCAACTTTCATGATGTACAAGGGCTAAGCCACAGAAGATGGACTTATAAAATGACAGAAGATAGATCTTTTATCAAGAATTCAAGGCGCAGACTATTGGCCTTTGTGATTGTATTCCTGCGCATTTGAACTCGATCCATGCATTATTTTCCAACAATAGATTAAAAATTGATACCAATTTCTCAAGCACTAAGCCTCCAGATTCATGCTAATTAAAAAAAAAATATTTTGATGTGAACAATAAAGTAATTTATATGTTGCAAACAACACTCACAATCCATGTAAATAACCAAAAAGAGGTCAAAATATCAAAATATGAAACAATGACCCTTACTGTGTTAGTCATACACATTAAAAATATGGTGATAAATACTGCTAAATCATTCATAAATCACACATAAAATGTAAATTATTACATGAATCTTTAAACTTTTTTTTTACTTTTCTTAAAATGTTTACTTTTTTTAAAATCTTTGTACATTTTAACAAAGTTTTTCTTAAAATGCAACATTTTGGCTCATCTGAAGGCATGCAGCTTTATAATAAAACATCAATTAGAATGGGAACACTGTTTACTATAGAACAAATTGAAACAAAAAAATGCACCCTCAGAACAAAATTGGCATCTCAGTGATTGATTACCTGCGATGTATTGTTCCTTTTAACATTCATTAGCATTTTGAGTAATTATTTGTACACAGAAATGTTCATTCCTGAACATGATTTTTTTTCTCCCAAGGGAAAAGCAAAAAAAGTTTGGCACGTGAAAATTTAATTATAGGGGAAGATTTTGAAATGTCGTTTGATCATGGAATATTCTCCCATGGAGTTTAGAAATTGTCACCTTAGTGCAGTAATGGGTTAACTCTTTATATGATCTAATAGGAGTTAACCCGTTACTGCACTAAGGTAACGGTATATGTTTTATTATCTGCATTTTCACATAATTTTACCAGATAAAATCTTTAATTAATGATGTATCACAGAGTGGGGATAGGATAATGCTCTATAATTAGATTTTCTGATTGTGATGATAATTTTTTTTTCCCATTGTGAATGTGTTCATTGAAGGTTTAAAGCTTGTTCAACATGACAGCCCGAGATTTAAAAGTAATATGGTTGCCAGGGAAATATTTCAGTGCCTTACTTTACATTGTTAAAGTTTTTCATGAGTAGTTTCAAGGTTTCCAAATATCAAAATACACTGTCTCAATAAGTCATGGACAACAGCATTTAAATACAAAATACTCATTGAAATTCTTAAAGATTTTAACTGATATTTGATATGCCATTGCTGAGTGTACATGCAAAAAATCGGCAAGATATCATTTTATTTGATTTCACAGGTCAAATTATAAGACTACCTAATAACACAATGCGGCCCATGCCTCAACGTCATAATAACGTTATGTGACGTTATGCAAATGTATCTCCTCTTCAAAATATCACCTCTGTAAGGGATGTACTTTAAATGTTAAAGCCACCTTCTTATACAAGACGTATTACACAAATGGCCTTTTAAGCTTCTCGGCAAACACAGTAGTTTACAGTGTTAATTTGTGTTGTCTTCATTAACTATATTTTCAATTGTCCCCACTGTACTTGATCACTTGATTACAGGTATACCATTTTACCTTTTTTTTCCTGTCACCTGTTACATATTTCTTATGACACTTGTATACCAATAGCTGCAAACCATTCTGGTACTTTTACACACTTCATTGAAAAATGTGCCATCTAACATTTTTGCTAAGCATGGGTACACAAAATATGAAGGCCAAGTTGGATAGGAAAAAGTTACATTACGGGTACCTGATTTTTTTTTGGTTGTTAAGCTTTGATAGTATGATGTCCCTGACTATATTGTTAGATAAAGTTGATATTTCATTAACAGTAAAATTAATTCTGCTATATTTAAGGCTTGTGGAGCAGTGTTTTTCAACAAGGGAGAGAACTGTATAGCTGCAGGTCGGCTGTTTGTTGAAGATTCTATACATGATGAGTTTCTTGAACGTGTGGTAAGTGCTCTACACATATTATTTTATATGTATATACGAATAGCAATAAAAGCCATGACACAAATTTATATAGGGATCACTTCTTCATCGTCTGTCCATCAATCTGTCCTGCCGTCCATCACAAAACTTGTCTGGACTACTTGCAGAAGGTTGAAGGTTTCAATAAAGGTAAATGTTTATGTTATATGGCACAAAGAAAGTATATGGGGTTGATGATCTTTTTAAAAAAATTGCTATTATAATTATTGTAATTGTTGGTGTATCTAAAACACCAAGCTTATGGACCAGGGGAATCTTGGGTTACCTTCATTCAGTAAATAAAGAGATCCACCATTTAACCTTAACTTAAAAGTGGCATCACATATGAGATCACCCTCATTCAGTGTATTATGAAAGCCCGATTTGACCTTAACAATGTTATTTTGACATTAGCGGGGCATATAGGTTATTACTTTAAGTCAATAAGGAAAGCTACAATATGAACTATGTTGTTAAGGGATGACTTTAAATGCCCCTCTTTCATCAAATAGGTTTATAGGGGGGCATATAAGGTCACCATTGACTAGTAGTACAAGACAGGTTGTATTAACAATGATCTTAAACATGACCCCTGAGTGACTCCTTTACAAAGATGATAAAGAGAGCCTTTACATTATCAGGTTAAGGAAGTAAAGAAGATGAAGATAGGTGACCCATTAGACAGAAGTACTGACCATGGTCCACAAAATCACCGTGCACATTTAGAGAAACTTGTAGAATACTGTGATATTGGTAAGAAGGAAGGTGCTACCCTGGTATATGGTGGAAAACAAGTAGACAGACCAGGTTAGTTTATTCCTGTGTGTGTGAATGTTTTATGGATTTTAGAGTTTTAACCCTCAAATCCAGGTTTTCCAGTGGAAAATTCTTGTTAATTATTTTATACGATTTCTTTTAGTTTGATTGTGTTGGAAGTTTTAAGCTTATTGAAACATTTTTGAACCAACCAACACTTATCAATGTGGGTAAAGTTTCTTGCTGGCGGAAACAACGTCTTGACCCTGACAGGGTTTGAACCTATGCGGCCAGTAATCCATAGATTACTAGTCTGACACGTTAACCACTCGCCCATGCCGCCACTTATAGTTCTTGTTTATAAGATAAGTGAGTGTGGGTTTGCAGTAAACAGTTTCTTCTATGCACAACTTTTTTTGCGTTAACCACTCGGCCATGCCACCACTTAAAATTTTTGATTATAAGGTAAGTGAGTGTGGGTTTGCAGCAGTTTTTTCTATGCACAACATTTTAAAGAAAAAAGAACTTGTTTGAAAGTCATCTTATATGAAAGTGATTGGTACTAATAAACTGTTTGCTATATACATGTATTTGACTGTTGCTTTAATGGCAATGTAAAGTTTTGGTAAATCTAGGACTCATGGGGTTTGGGCCCCAAGGAAGACAACATGCCCTCATATGACACCAGTTTTAGCCTTGAGGTTGTACAAAATTGATTTCCATCTCATATCAATTTTTCATTGTTAAGTAAAAATTCTGTGAACAATCAAATACTTGAGATTGGAGGATTTATTCAGTTAGTTTTAATGAAGCAGACTTAAAAAATTGCTTGAATATGCTTAGAGCAAATCTTTGATGCCCCCATTTTAGGGGGAAGGAGGTGGGGGTATTTAGATTTTCCCTTGTTTCTTAATTGAACTAAAATAGGTATGTTTAAACTTTAGTAACTTTTATGTGATATATAATAAAATAAAGACAACATCATTTTTGTAGACAATATGAAAAAAATATTGAAAAATGAAACAAGGTTATTTTGATATTGATATTTTTGTCTAGGATTGTTTATGGAGCCTACAATTTTCACCGATGTTGAAGATGGAACAATGATGTCAATAGAGGAATCTTTCGGACCTGTTATGATCATCTCAAAATTCATGGATGGGTAAGGGATTTATTTACTACCATAAATGGTGTACCATACCATTCCAATCAGAAGTTACCATACCAATACCATAAGTTATGAGTGAGACTAGAATAAGTGTTGGAGCCACACTGAATGTTGTATTCCGGTATATACATCGGACAAGGTGTTGGAATGATTAAATGTTAAATTTCACCCGTCGAAATGCAATCAAAGACATTTAATTCATCTGTTCACATGATTTATATACAATAATGAATGAAAATTGTAAGTAGCAGTGAAAAAAAAGATCTTTCGCTACTTTACTATCACTATTTCTGAAAGGGTTTGTAGGTACTGCACCAAAACTGTAGTGATTAAATCCATATGTAATTCAGTAATTACTGTCAAGTTTTCAAAAATTCTGCCCATATAGAGTTTTTTCGACCAATTGTTGAATCATAGCAGTTGTAACAGGTTATAAGTTTAAAATGAATATGAAAATATATGAATAAAGATAAGTAAAATTTTTGATAGTGACATTGTGTTTTGTACATAAATACATTTACAACTTCTGTCCATCTTGGCACTAAGTCACTGAATGATTTAAACATTTTTAAAATAAACAAATGATTAATTGGAAATATTTCATATGTTGAAAATATCTAAGTCAATTTAATTTCATGTTTGAAATAGACACAAATTTAATTAGCTCACCTGTCACAAATTCAGTGAAACTTGGCAGGCATGTTCCTTGCATAAAGCTCTACCAATGTTGTTAAAAGAATGAAATTTCATGAAGAACTCTGGTTGCCATCGCAACCAAAAGAGTTTTTTTTTAAAACAAAATCTTAAAAAATGTCTTATCAAAATCCAGAAGGTGTAGATCCTTAAAATTTAGTATGCAACATGATCTAATGGTCCTTTAAAAAGATTGTTCAAATTATAACCCTAGGGTCAAGCAGACCCTGCCAGGGGGCTCATAAGTTTTATACATGCATAAAGTTATATAGGAAAATCTTAAAAAAACCTTCTTGTCAAAATCCACAAGGCCTAGTGCCTTGATATTTGGTATGTAACATGATCTAGTGGCCCTCTACTAAGATTGTTCAAATTATGCCCCTAGGATCTAAAGCTGGAAGCTAGACAAGTCCATTTAAGAAATTCAGCATGGTAATTTCTATTTAGATTATAACATAACATGTATGTTAAGATAAACATTTATACTTTTTTGTCATTTTACTCTATAGGGACATCGAGGGAGTTATAGCTCGGGCAAACAACACAGAATACGGCCTGGCCTCGGGCGTGTTTACCAAGGACATAAACAAGGCCATGACAGTGGCTGACAGTATTAAAGCAGGGACAGTCTTTGTGAACACTTACAATAAGACAGACGTTGCCTCACCATTTGGAGGATTTAAACAATCAGGATTTGGAAAAGATCTTGGTATGTCAATTGCTCATTTATCATGTAGATTATAACCAGGTTTTCTAACAAGAAACTCTGGTTGTTAAATTGGTGAATGCTAGCTTACAAAAATGACGGTGGTTCTACTCGGGTGCTCGTTAAGGCATGAAATATTGCAAAAAGGGGTGGCTGAGCCCTTTTTCCATCAGTAAAGCTTGAAATTCGCCATATGACCATATGAGTGTTGGTATGACATAAAACTGAACCATGAAAAAGTAGGTTGAATGTCAGCAGCTTGATGAAAGCATATTTTTCCAATGTGCAACTGCTACATTTTTCTTGGGACCTTTCAACCAAAATTTCAAAGAATGATTGTCATCAAGTGTTCTGTGGCATTTTGTTATGATGCTTTGATTTGGTCTTTTTGGGCAGATTTAAGTCCCTTTGCTTTTTAGCTCACCTGTCACAAAGTGACAGGGTGAGCTTTTGTGATCGCTTTTCGTCCGGCGTCCGTCCGTCCGTCGTCCGTCCGTCGTCCGTCCGTAAACTTTTGCTTTAAATGACATCTCCTCATAAACCACTGAGCCAATTTCATCCAAACTTCACAGGAATGTTCCTTTGGTGGCCACCTTTAAAAATTGTTCAAAGAATTTAATTCCATGCAGAACTCTGGTTGCCATGGCAACTGAAAGAAAAATCTTTAAATATCTTCTTTTAAACAACCCTAAGAGCTAGAGCTTAGATATTTGTCATGAAACATCTTCTAATGAGTGTCTACCAAGTTTGTTCAAATAAAAGCCCTGGGGTCAAAATTGGCCCCGCCCCGGGGGGTCATTGATTTTCCCTATATGCATATACGCTCATTCTCAATAAAACACAGCATTTGATGTTCCACGGGGTAGCTCTTATACGAAGGTTTTTCTTGAGGTCAAAATGTCGTTAGAAAGGTGGCTGCTACTTTGTCTAATAGGGACACACTCAGTTTTACATTCCTATCTGTTATTTTTCTTTTACAAGTACCATTAATGCCCTAAAATGTAACATACGTTACTGTCGCCACCTAGAATTTTCTATTTTGAAATTGTGTTTCAGAAAAATAAGTTCCAGAATAAACGAAACATGTGCAATTAGTCATTGCTGTGTGTATATGCACTTTGATTATTGGTAAAAATTATATTTGACTGTTAAAATCTCATTGGTATAATGGATGATCAAATGTCGCCAAATGCATATAAATAAATAGTGACAAACCTAAAACAATAAGAAGTGAATCCCAAATTAAATAATTGAATCGATGCATGCTTAATAATACAGCATATATATAATTATAAGTAAAAATAAGCTTGCAGCCTCTCAAATATCATTCTATTTTCGGAAATTTTCATTTTTTATTCAAATCTTTTCAACAGCACTTTAAAAAGAAACATACGTTACCATTATTTAAGAGCCAATCCATTCAAAGAAGAATCCAAACAAGAAAGAAAATTAACATGTGTGTAACTCTGATATATTAACCACAAATTATGGCAGCTTAAACGGTCTTGCGTCATTTTTAACCCACTTTCAATGTAAAAATGAAACATACGTTACAGAAACATACGTTATCAACTTTTTAAAGTAAGTTTATCAAAAGGGAAATTGAAGTCAGAAAGCACGTATAACATCAACATTAAGTTCTATTTGACATTAGTAAGTAAATTTTGTTTACTTTTGTTGTTTTTTCACTTGTTTAAGTAACCACAGTGAAACAAACGTTACTTTTATCAAACAGACTTTATATTGTTTACACATGTATATATAAAAACATAAAATCGCATTTTTATGACAATAGAATGATGTGCATTTGATTCCTAAATAAAAAAGTCGATTTTACATGTAAGTTTAAATTCCGTGATTAAGTTCATAAATAAGCGAGTGTGAAACATACGTTACTCCAACTTACAATTCAACAATTTTTGAAAATTAAAGATAAAGTTGGGATTAGCATGCCTGTTAGTAACCGTTACCTTGTATTAGATGTAAGAAGACACAAAATTGTTTTTACAAAGGAAAGATATGTTAATAATATGTTGATGTACCAGCAGAAATGTTGAAAATATATTACAAGATATTGATGTTCTCAGCAACAACTAATTCGTTTCTGCAAAGAGCTTACTGGCCGTATTTCATTCTATATATAATAATGTTAAAATAATATCCTTATATATAAATTATTTTACAAAAAAATAAAATTGTTTTCTCAACCTTTACTTGCATTTGAATAAAATGAAACATACGTGACATCCTATATGGGGATAAATATCTAACTGTTTAGTACTAAATTTTCCAAATATTAAGAAAGTGGAAAGTTGAATATTTTGAGAAAAAAAAGTTGCTAATACAAAATTTGTGAATGCATTCGACCTCTCATATATTATATATGATATATATCCTTTGAATGAAGACATAAAATAATCATTTTCAAAATTGACTATTTTTGCTTTCTTCGAATATGTAACTTTGAAAAAATTGACTGAAATTAGCAAGGTACCCAACTTCTTTGAATTTTCCTGGGTTAGAAAGTCCCTCTAGATAGAGAATTTACAGATTTTGATATATTTTACAGACATTTGGTATTAATATGCAGCCAATATGTTACATTATTAGATCTGAAATCTACGTTACCGAAGAAATACAGTGTCATTACCGAAATAAATGCCATCTGTTATATCATAGTTTCTTGTTTCAACCTCAAATGCTTTATTTTATTGAGAATGGGCGTATAGTAAAAACTTAAAAAATCTTCTTTTAAAGAACTGTAAGAGCTAGAGCTAAGATATTTGGCATGGAACATCTCATAGTGAGTGTCTACCAAGTTTGTTCAAATAAAAGCCCTGGGGTCAAAATTGGCCCCGCCCCGGGGGGTCATTGATTTTCCCTATATGCATATAGTAAACACTTATCAAAATCTTCTTTTAAAGAACTGTAAGAGCTAGAGCTTAGATATTTGGCATGAAACATCTTCTAGTGAATGTCTACCAAGTTTGTTGAAATAAAAGCCCTGGGGTCAAAATTGGCCCCGCCCCAGGGGGTCATTGATTTTCCCTATATGCATAAAGTAAAAACTTAAAAAATCTTCTTTTAAAGAACCCAAAGAGCTAGAGCTTAGATATTTGGCATGAAACATCTTCTAGTGAATGTCTACCAAGTTTGTTCAAATAAAAGCCCTGGGGTCAAAATTGGCCCCGCCCTGGGGGGTAATTGATTTTCCCTATATGCATATAGTAAAAACTTAAAAAATCTTCTTTTAAAGAACCGTAAGAGCTAGAGCTTAAATATTTGGCATAAAACATCTTTAAGTAAATGTCTACCAAGTTTGTTCAAATAAAAGCCCTGGGGTCAAAATTGGCCCCGCCCCAGGGGGTCATTGATTTTCCCTATATGCATATAGTAAAAACTTAAAAAATCTTCTTTTAAAGAACTGTAAGAGCTAGAGCTTAGATATTTGGCATGAAACATCTTCTAGTGAATGTCTACCAAGTTTGTTCAAATAAAAGCCCTGGGGTCCAAATTGGCCCCGCCCCAGGGGGTCATTGATTTTCCTTATATGCATATAGTAAAAACTTATAAAATCTTCTTTTAAAGAACCTAAAGAGCTAGAGCTAAGATATTTAGCATGAGACATGTTCTAATGGGTGTCTACCAAGTATGTTCAAATAAAAGCCCTGGGGTCAAAACTGGCCCCGCCCCGGGGTCATTGATTTTCCTTATATACATAGCAAAAACTTAAAAATCTTCTTTGAAAAAACCCAAATAACTAGAGTTTAGATATTAAGCATGAAACATCTTTAAGTAAATATCTACAAAGTTTGTTCAAATAAAAGCCCAGGGGTCAAAACTGGCCCTGCCCGAGGTGTGTCATTGTTTTTAACTATATGTGTCTAGTAAAAACTTAAAAAATCTTCTTTTAAAAAACCCAATGAGCTAGAACTTAGATGTTTTGCATGACACATCTTCTTATGGGTGTCTACCAAGTCTGTTCAAATAAACAAATAAAAGCCCTTGGGTAAAAATTGGGGCGGGGGGTGGGGGGGCTATATACAGGTGAGCGACCTCAGGGCCATCATGGCCCTCTTGTTCAAACATGGTATTGTGACAATTATTATGACACTTATCTGTGCATTATTTGTTTAAAGTCAGCCATTCATTTTAGCTCATATATTTGAAGGATAGAGAGAGAGAGAGATAGAGAGAGAGAGATAGAGAGAGAGCTATTGTACTCAGGTTGTGATCTGTGTCACACTTTGGTTATGATTTTGTGTGCAATTTATTGTCTCTTAAACTAGTTAAGAGAATTGGTTGAGACTTCAGACACTTTTTAGCTCGACTATTCGATAAGAATAAGTAGAGCTGTTGTAGTCACCCGAGCGTCGGCGTCCGCGTCGGCGTAACCACTTATGTTAAAGTTTTTGTAATAGTTTAAATATTTTCAAAGTCCATTGACATATGGCTTTGAAACATTGCACACTTGTTCACCATCATTACCCCAACCTGTAAACAGGAGGAGGTAACTGTATCAAGCATTTTGACAGAATTATGCCCCTTTTTTGCGACTTAGAATTTATGTTAAAGTTTTTGTAATAGTTCAAATATTTTCAAAGTCCATTGACATATGGCTTTGAAACTTTGCACACTTGTTCACCATCATTACCCCAACCTGTAAACAGGAGGAGGTAACTGTATCAGGCATTTTGACAGAATTATGCCCCTTTTTCGACTTAGAAATTATGTTAAAGTTTTTGTAATAGTTCAAATATTTTCAAAGTCCATTGACCTATGGCTTTTAAACTTTGCACACTTGTTCACCATCATTACCCCAACCTGTAAACAGGAGGAGGTAACTGTATCAATCATTTTGACAGAATTATGCCCCTTTTTTTCGACTTAGAATTTATGTTAAAGTTTTTGTAATACTTCAAATATTTTCAAAGTCCATTGACATATGGCTTTGAAACTTTGCACACTTGTTCACCATCATTACCCCAACCTGTAAACAGGAGGAGGTAACTGTATCAAGCATTTTGACAGAATTATGCCCCTTTTTCGACTTAGAATTTATGTTAAAGTTTTTGTAATACCTCAAATATTTTCAAAGTCCATTGACATATGGCTTTGAAACTTTGCACACTTGTTCACCATCATTACCCCAACCTGTAAACAGGAGGAGGTAACTGTATCAAGCATTTTTTTTTACAATCAAGCACTAAGAATAGTCGAGCGTTGCTGTCCTATCGACAGCTCTTGTTTGAGAGTGTAATAGGAGGTCACTATCCAAGGCACATTATACACTCTACCATGGATTTGACAGAACCATGGCCCTTTTTAACTAAAATATTCTACATTATCCATGCTCTTGCTTACTATCAATTACTCAGAATAGTCTTTTTACACCATGTGAAATTCCAAATGCATTCCAGTAGAGCTACTCAATGTATTATCAATGGATGTGCAGAATTTGAGTCCAAGTTCAAGTACTCGGCATTGCATCCATTTGTATATTTATCCATAACTTTGTTCATTTTATATGTTGATTTTTTGGGGGGGGGGGGGGGGGGGGGAACTCACTCAGTTAATTTTCATAGACACATTTCTAGAGTCAGAAAGCCTGAAAACATCATCTTTTAAAAATTTACACAGATTATGTGAAGCACTTAAAATTAAAAAATTTGAAAAGGATAATAAAGAAATATATAAAATAATGATAATTAAATTGAAAACCGATTTTTTGTACAATTCTTAGCATGATTTGAGTGAAATTCGTTGTAGTCCTTTTCATTTCTGAGTCATATTGCGCAACAAAAATGAATGTATGGGAAAAGAGCAAAGAGGGAATGAGCTTAAAATTTGCAGACAAGTTATTATTCCAGACCTTTGTCAAATGGTTCACAAATCTTTGAAACATATTTCCATTCCTGTCAGGTTAAAAAACCTTAGTGGAGTCCCTTTAAGCCCTGATACAGATTCATTTATTGTACAAATACTGCTAGTAACATTACGGAGTGGGAGGGGAATGAAAATATCATGGCTGGTTTAAATAACACTGCAATTTTATAAAAAAAATTAATCGCAACATATTAAGGTTTTCGGATAAGTGCTAAAGACATCAATTCTCTGCTATTTTGATCTAAAATAAAGTGGGTGGTGATGAATGTGTTGAAATGTTAGCTTGCCAAATTTAGAACAAATTTATTGTTAGAATTTTACGCAAATTATGTGAAAACAGTTGTTAATCAAATGGAACGAAGTAGAATATCAACAGTTTTTGTTATCAATTCCTCCAAACAAGGGTAAATTTAGAAATGAATTTAATGCATTGGTGAATTCAATTTCATAATACATTTAATATCAAAAGAATCATTCAAAATCTAATAAATCGTGCCTCAAGATGAAGTAAAATGCATATTGAAAACTGAATATGCTCAGCTTGCTTCAAATAGAAAGGAAATTACATGATAAAAACTAGAAAAAGGTTAACAGATCTTGACATTGAAACACTGCAGTCAATTTCCATTAGATTTAATGAAACAAAAGTTGTGGTAATTGTAGTTTTGTTTATTATTGTGATATTGGGAACTTAATTTTTTTGAAATAGCTTTTGAATATTGATTTGACCTTGGAACTGTCATTTGGTGAATGTGATTGATTTAAAGATGTTCATATTGCGTGACTTTAGCGATAGGTTGCACTTTTACGCTACAAGCTGACTGGGCATGTCTGAAACCGAAACATAGCAGACATGTTTTTATAAAAGCGAATAGAGGTCATAGATAAAGTTTGGGTTACGGGTTCAAAAGCCCCAGATATGAAGTAGATTAATATTGGACTGATGCACATTAAAATTTTGGACCTGATTAGTCCTTTTCCACAATGTCAATTTCTATACACCTTTTAAAGTGTATCAGGTCTGAGTAAAAAGCACATACCTTAGAAATCCATTTATTTTTTAGTTCGTTAGAAATGTCAAATATGTGTTTAAGAAGGATTTAAAAAAGGATTTATTGCATGTATAATGTAAAACAACTGAAGAAAGTACTGTTAAACTAGGGCTGTCATTGAATATTGCGATATCGATATATCATCGATATTCATCATTCGATACAATATCAATACACACTTTCACATATCGATACAAGCTTAAAAAAAATTTATTTCTGTTAGTTAATATACCTCTCTATTTGGCTTATAAAAGAAGTCACTTATTTTTAGTTTTCTTGGCTAACTTGAACTTTAAACTCTTTTTTCAAATGTCAGTAACAAGAATAACAGAAAAAACAAACTTTCTGTTAGTATGTAGTATTTGTAATGTGTAATACAAGCATGCATAACACCATGATCCCAAATTATAACACATATATAAATGTTTTTCATTGTATCTACTGTAAAAGTCTATATATCGATGTATCGTCGATATTTCTCTCGATATATTGATACAAAAGTTTCCATCAATGACAGCCCTATGGTTAAACATGCAGTTATGTGTCATAAAGGTTGCAATATGTAAACAAAGTGGTCCATGACTTCCATACAAAATACTTCCCTATAATTATACCAATTGCCAGCCTAGGAGAGCTAAAGAAGCAAAAATTCATCTGCATGGCAAAGGAGTAATTTTTGGAAACTTTTACAACATACCAAAATTTAAAGTTCCTGAGAAATATGAATGATGCCTTTCAAATACAATGTACTTTACTTTACCATAAAAACATGCCTTTTAAAATGTTTTTATTACCTCTATTCTTACCTTTTAAATTTTCCACAATTTCATGCCCTAAAATTGAACCACATTTAATGCATTTTGTATTTACCCATTTTATTTACCACATTTGTATGCCTTTAAAATAAACCATACCAGTATTTTTATGTCTTGAACATTTTACAATATTATTCTTTTAACATTTCTTTTAGGAATGTACTCATGTTACAAACAATTTTTCTGATGTGTTGAAAATAGTGGTTGAATATCCAATATTAATTGGTTTTGTTAAGGCAAAAAATTAATTTTCTGGATTTAAAATAAAAAAAATAAATAGAAATCCTGAAAGGAAACAATAATGTTGTTTTTGTTGAATGCACATAGAGAACAAATATTAATGAGATTTCAGACCACTTGTTGTTAATTGCGTAATTTAACAACCTCATTTCAGTTTAACTGTCTTCAATTTCACTGAGAGTTACCATGGATACATGTTCGTTCCTATGTGAGAAAAAACAACACAATGTTTTCTTTTATTGCAGGGGAAGAAGCATTGAACGAATATCTGCAGACAAAAGCTGTGACTGTAGAATACAATTTATAAAACAGTTTTACAGGGAAGTAGATCTGTGGTGGGAGTATATTGAACAATAGAGAATTGATACTTTGTGTTGCACATAGACTTAAATGTATATACATAGTTTTGTATAAAAAATATAAATATAAAAAAAGGTGCCAGAAAAAGAAAACTCTACTAAAAAAAAAGTGACATACAATGATTTTGTATTTCCTTTAGATAAATTTCACTATTTTATAATACTGATGTATCAGTTAGATTATGAAAATCATTTTATTTTATTAATGTGTTTAACCAAAACTAAACTAAAATTGGCAAATAATGTCAATTACCATTGTAACAATGTGTTTAATGATATTGTTAATTTGTTCTGACAATTAATATATAGAAATAAATTGGCAGTTTATCAAAATAAAAAAAATAAATCAGGTAATGCCAGTTATTGTTTCAGTACATAATATTAAGTATTTCATCAGTGTAATATCATATATTACGATGATAAAAATGCAGCTATTGTATATTGACGAAGATAACTTTATATGTATTAATACAAAGTGTATTAAAAATGGAAGTCTTATTTGTACAATCATGCTTTTGTTTGGATGTTTTGATTGTTGATTTTTTTTATAAAAATCATGTTATATTATGTTTTTAGAATGTCTTTGTTTGTGTCATACCATAATGAACTGGTCATTTGTTAGGTATAGATATATTCAGATAAAATGTCAGTAAATGAAATTATTACCAAGTGAAACTACTACATTGTCACAGTGCATCAGTAGCACCTGTCTATCATTATTATGGAAGTGAATACCAATACTTACTTAATTTTGTGGTCACACATGGAATTTCGTGGTTTTTGTTCAAAAGAACCTTTTTCATTTTTTTTAATTCATGTACTATTTAAGCAGAAAAAGTAAAAGAAAGTAATACAATGCAAAAAATTCCTACGGAATAAAATAAAATTTCATTGCATCTAAAATTTGTGAATATACCTATCAACGAAAAGCACAAAAATTAGTGCCCCACAAATAGTAATGATTTATCAGTAGATTAGGTTGTCAGATATAGAAATAAGATTTTATCAGTTAATTCTGCAACTTTATTGTAACATGCATGTACAATTTGAAATTGTTCGTACATGGCTATTTGATTTTCACTATTTTTGATATTGATTAAATGTTGTTATGTTTTTGTTATTGAAATAATGGAAAATGTTGTGTCTAACCTGCAAACAGACAGGAATAATAATTAAGGACAAATACTCATATAACTTATTTTTAATGGCATTTGTTGAGGATTGGATCTTAGCATGAGGACAATCTTAAAGGTGCCAGGCAATGAAGGCATAATTCCAATTCTTTATAGCCAACCTCTCTCTCTGTCTTGGCCCTCAACTCATCCACCCCCATACACACACCAAATGAAAAAGAAACAAGTATATTGAAAATAAATGAATAGATTAAAAATAAAAAAAATGTTATGGAAAATAAATGTATATAATTATAGCCTCATTTTATTGTAAATCACCCATTATATAATAATGAAATATTACAAGATGTAAAAAGAACTGTTTTTTTTTTATAAAAAATAAATCATAATTGATGGTCTCGTGTTGAAAAAAAGTGAAAACAACCAATATATTAGATATCTTTTAGTGTAAATAATTTTTAGCCAAAGGGTAAAATACTGTTTTTTTACAGTGGAAAATGTAATATGTAAAAATGCAATTTAATGATAAAAAAACCCAATATATATTATTACTTTATTCTTACAAAACTAGCAATTCTTATTGTATCATTTATTTACAACATTAAGATGTTTTGATATACATCCTCGAAATGTAACGTTATGAAGAGACAGTATAACAAATACTTATTGTTGTAAATGAATGTACATCACAATATTGGCATGGCTTAATTCTTTGGAAATTGACATGTTCAGTTGTATTATTCACATAAAATATACTCTATTGGTATATATGTACATAACTCTTGACATAAAATATACCTATTGGTATATACCTATTGGTATATAGCTATATAATGATATAATATTGGTGTTGGTATATTACTGCATTGTCTTGATATATACCTATCGGTATACATGTAGTATATGGTTATATCATAAATGGCGGCGTGGCCGAGTAGCTAACGCAACAGATTAGTTATCTAAGAATTGCTGACTGCGTTGTCAACCCCCATCATGGGCAAGCCGGTGTTTCCTTGAGCTAGAAACTGTACATTCATTGCTAAGTACTGGTTGTTTACACGAACGGATTCGAAAGTTATAGGTTCCACCAAAAAAATCGAATCATCATATTACGTACCTAATGATGTGGTATATAAATATATCACTGTTTATACTTAAAATCTCTTGAAAAGATATTTTTGGACTCTTGATAATATTTAAAGTGAGTTTCATGAGTTGATATTTTGTTCCCATATACGAAGTCAAAGTTACCTCTAGTATAGATAATGGGGTTAATTATTTCAGTACCTCAATTTTGTTTGATGTTAATTTGGAATAAATAACTGGTCAGTATTAATATTGTTTATTTAATGAATGTAATTATTTTAATTCTTGGTGCTGCCTAAATTTAAAACTCTTAGATTCATAGTAATATTGATAACAAAAATGATATAGAGTAGCTTACATTTCAACAAGTTGTTGCATTGATATTTTATATTTGAGTTTTTATGTTCGATTTTGTTCCTTTTCTTTGTCATTGCTTGCTGTTCATTATATTTTGCTTATAATTACTTACTCTACAGCATACAGCTGTACAAATATGTATGGGTTTTATTGTTTTTGTTTGACTTAAAAATACTTACTGCACAGCGTACAACTGTACATGCCACATCTTCTTTCGCTGTGTTTGGCTTATTATTTCTTGCTACTGTAAACTGTACGTGTCCAACCTTAATTATTTGTTTATAATTGTGCACTGCACAGCTTACAGCTGTACATGACCAGCCATAAAACACTATGTTTTGCATATAATTATTACTAACTGTACAGGAAAGGTACAGCCTACATTTACAATAATTACTGCACAGCAGAGATACAGTTTTCATTCACTATGTTTGGCTTATAAACACTTACTGCACAGTATTTATTTATTAACTACTGTACAGGAAAGGTACATCCTTTATTTACAATGTTTGGTTTATATTTACTGCACAGCAGAGGCACAGTTTTCATTCACTATGTTTTGCTTATAATTCATTACTGTACAGGAAAGATACAGCCTTTATTTACTATGTTTGGTATATATTTACTGCACAGAGGAGGAACAGCTTTCATTCACTATATTTGGCTTATAATTAATTACTGTACAACATTCAGCTAAACATATCTATCATTTATTATCTTTGTTTGACTTATATAGTTATTAACTGTATAGCTTGCAACTGTACATGCCTGGTCTTCCTTCACTTTATTTAGCTTACAATTAACTTATTGTAATGGAAGAAGTACATCATCCACTTATTATGTTGGCTTATAATTACCTATTGTACAGTAGAGGCACAATCTTCTTTAATTATGTTTGGTTTATAATTACTTATTTCATAAAAACTTAAGACTTTGAAGTATCATATTATATTTTTTTATCTAGTAATCAGGTTTTGGAAATTTTAAGTTTGCATTTTTAAAAAGAGATTTCTTACATTTAATGCAGGTATTATTTTATATAAATATTAACTTATGCATCTGAATTCATGTTTTTATAATATGGATCATTCCTACCCACTCCGTTTTAATCACAAAATAGTATATGAAGTGACTATTGAATTGTGTGTCAAATATGTATCATTGTTTGCTATCTGGTTTTGGTGTGTTGAACAAACCTTTGTTTTTGGTTCTTTGTTAGGTTTTATGTCTTCTTTTATAAAGAATATGAGGAGTTTGATGGAAAAATGTACATTGTACTTGATAAATAAGGCATGTTATATTTCATAAACCACATAAATTATTCTATTGTAAGTGGGACTCCACTGCGGTTTTTGTTTAAGTTGACTTAAGATGGATGTTTCAATTTTTGTAGCTCTTGACCAGTAACTTGTGTGTAAAATTTCAGATCGTGGGCCAGAATAATAATCTCCATCGCTTTGCATTCAAATTTGACAGAAAAAATAGTACGAATATACGATTTTAAATTCATTTCTATTATCTTTTGCGTTTCTTATTGTTTTAAGTGCCCCAGCTGATCTATGTAAGGAATTTCTTTAGGCTTTTGGACCTGAGTGGAGTTCCTTTAACGAAGCTGGTTTCCCTTTAGAAAAGTTGAAAATAACCTGTTTGTAATGTGATTGATGATAATAATGTAACAGAAAAAAAATGCTATAACATTACGTAAGAACAATTTGGTAACTTTTTTCCAATATCAGAAAATATAAACAGGTGAAATGTAACATGACTTTTTATGAGTTTACATGACTTGAAATGTCGCTATAATATGTTTAATGAATATTTATAACTGGTAATAATTTACGGAAGAAAAAAACAGCATTAAATTGAAGTATATAATTGCTAAAGTATTGAGAAGATGAATTATTTTATTATCTTATCTTATCAGTGAATTTGAGATTTGGTTGATAATAAAAAATACAAACAAATAACTGTCGTTTTGTTTGTTTGTTTTTGCCTTGTCCATGGAGAGTATTCATCAAATTCATGTTATCACGAGATTCCTGATTGTGAATTCATGAAGATGGAATCGTGTGCTCATGAAGTTGTTAACGTAAATTTTGTATTTGAAATAAAAAATCTTGAGTTAAAATGTTATTCAGTTAAATTGATACGGAATTTCATAACTCTCGGTCTGACACATTTTAAACAAATGTCCAAGCTTCATTATTAAGTTTTACATTTTTGAACTTTTATAAAGATAAGGTATAAAATAATTAACTCTCTAAGCTTTTAATGTTTTGTATTATCTATGTTTATACTGCAACACTGCATAAAAATTGAGCTCCTAAATCATTTGCACTCCCTTAATTCGTTCAAAACACTAAATACTTTGATCCCTAAAATTGTTTCTCTTTTGACCAAGTGTCAAGTTCAATAGTTATCTGTTTATTTGCATTCGCTTTGACAATTGAGATAACGAGTTAATCTGCAAATGAATATTCCTCAATACTTAAAGACTTTTATGTTATTATAATTTGCAGCCTCAGCACTTCCACTGCTGATGTAAAAATGCTGATTTTTAGTATTCAAACACATTGCCGTCGGGTACCTCATTCCATCTCCTGGTCCCAGTATTACCAAAGCTTCACTCAGGTCTGAATTCATCTTGTATACGACGTGCTGCTTCTGGCTACAAACGTATACTGATCCAGATGGAGAGATAAAAATATCGTGCGGATATTCTAACTCACCATTATACA